TGTCGAAATCTATCACTGAGCGGCGTTTCCCAAGTGATGTAGATTTTGAGGAAGATCGGGAAAAGGTTTTGACGGAGAAGATGGAGGCTGCGAAACGTAGCCCTTTATATTCGTAAATCTTCTTAAATAGGGTTTAATTAATGATTTGTATCATCTGAAAAAATGTATTGATGAGTCGAACTGCCAGATGTTCGTCTTAAACAACTTGAATTTAGTCTGAAACGGACAGAAAACTTGAAAAAAAATACAAAACCAACATGATAATCTATTCGAGTTTTATAAATCGACTGCAATAATTGCTTCCAAATTGCAATTACAACAATTATCACTAAGATTTGGTCGAGAGAATGACTTTATTTCAGACGACATTTTCTTTAATCGTTTCAATTATTTTGTGATAGACAACTACAAATTTAATTATGGTATCGAATTAGGAAGGCTGTAAGTAGATTAATTATAATTTTTTGTTTTTAATTGTTAATAATAATTTACAAATAATGTTACTAAAATATTTAGTGTAAACATGTTACGAGAGGCTTGCACTTAATTGTTGTGATTCTAATTTTATTTTATCTTCGTTACTTTTAATTGTTACTGTATATTTTACACTATCTTATTTTTTTCATTAAATTTTTACTTGTATAAATATATATTACGCCTGTATAATATACTCGTTGCCCTCCCATCATTGTACAATTTTACTCTTAATGTTTATTAATAATGCCGCAGCTTGCTCTTCCCACCGTGTCATTCATGGGATAGAGGTCAGCGGCTTGGCCTATCGAGCAGAAGTCGTCGGTTAAACCCTCATTGATGCAAGTTTTTTTGTGTGGATACGTTGTCCCGGTCTGAGAACTTATGTAAATACCAACCAATTACCATGTTTCTACCATGTCTCTGTAGGATATAACAGCCAGCTCTCAGGCTGAGAGGGCTTCTTGTTCTCTTACTGCAAAGCTGCAGGAGTTGTACATTGTCTGAGTTAATAAATCCCTTTGTGTTTCTAACGACTGATTGCCGTTTGTTCTCGCGACAATATGCTGTATTCATTGTCATAATTACTTAGTGTTTTTAAATCCTGATAGTGCTCAGTAAAATCAGGAAATGTAACTAATAAAATGAATGAATGAATGTTACGAGAGGGAGGTTTAATAGAAAAATTAATGAATGACATTCTGGAAGAAGTAAGAAAAGATTTCGAATTTTACTCTCCAAATCATGAAAATCAAGAAAAATTGAAAATGGAAGATATTCAGTATATTTTTTACTGTCTGTTTTCTGTCTATGACATTCCATGTTGTTTTTCTTATTTGCGAAATAGTAATATATCATGTAAAACGATAATTGGATCGACCATTGTGATTAACATTTGCCAAAACATATATAAGCACTGTGCATAGTTAAAATTAAATCTGCATGTTAACACATCATATACGGCAATTACTATTTATTAAACAAGTTTTTACATTTAAGATTTTTGTGTAGCACAATTTTAAATGTATTTAAAAACATAAATAAATTAACAGTTTGTTATCGCGTGTATAAAATATATTTTTCTTTTCTTTAAACTCTCTCTTAAAACTACTCATGACGAAAGTATTCGCACCCTTGAAAAACTATAGAAAAATTTTTGAATTAAAAAACAATTTATATTGTTACTTATTTTTAAAAATGTACAAATAACAAGCGTTTATTTATTGTGACATCTTTACAAGGCAAGGCTGCACTTTTTAACTTCTTAGGTTAAGTTAGATTTGGTTTTTGAAATTATCTAATACGTGCAAAAGAGTATTTAGACAAGGACTTTAAGCTTTGTAAGAATATGTTTTCAAATTTAAATACATTATACAGTAGAGCGTCGTTTATCCGAATCAATTGAGAACTGGGGTTGTTCATACAACTTATTTTTCGGATAACCGATTATGTAGAAAAAAATATATTAATTTATCTCATGTTAAAATTTTTCTTCGTCGCGTGTCGCTTCGCGTTGAATTTTCGTCGATGTTAAGCTTAACTTAAACTTTTTAAAATAATAATCGTGGCTATTGTATCGTTAACTTTCGTTTGAGAAACAGTATAAAAATTCACTAAATAAAGCAAAAATGATAATAAATAACTTAATTGGTCTATTCTGTAAGACAAAACTAAAGAACTTGGGAACACACTTTCGACTTTTTAATTCACTTGTAATGAATTCAATGGGCTATGCGGCCCCAGTTTGGAGTATGGATAAATTTAATGGTTTCGAAAAAATACAGAATATATTTATACGCAAGATATTCCAGTTAGAATTTAATATCCCGGGCAGTGCTTTAAGATTAGAAACAAATAGATTTAGACTAAATACTATATTAATAAAAAGATATTTAATGTTTCTACAAAAAATCATTAAGGCAGAAGACATAACAACAAAATTACTGTTTTTGCTATATCACAATTCAAGGGAAACGGATTTAAGACGAAGTTGGATAATACAGCTATCGAAGATAATAAATAAATACGGATTCTCTATTAAATTGTTTTTGGATCGTACACATAATATGGA